AATGGACAATTACAGCATATCATAAATTTTTTTATTTTCATACCTAACTTATTGGAAATTCTCCCCTGAAACCGAAAATCTGATTGTTTTTTTCGGCAAATGTTAATTTATTTAGTTATTAAACATTTAAATTGCCCCAAAAGGCCTCCGTAAGTGATGCAATCAAAAACGACCCCTGATTGGTTATGACGTCAAATGTGCCGAAGGGAAACGTGCCGTCTCCATCCGCTAAGGCTATTTCAATGCTCTTTTAGTTTTGATATCACGTATATCGTATGAACATCCTTTGTAAATTATCAGTAAAAATTTTGTGAATTAAATTTACGGTTCTGAGAGTGTATGCAAAATGAAGGAAAGATTTTAAAACTTCAAACGTTGTTATTTATCATTAAAATATCTGAAGAAATGATTATGTAGCTCTTAACAGCGAATCAACATTTCTTTTCGGCGGAAATCAGTGGTGCTAAAGTTCATAGAAAATACTATTTTATTCCACTTACTTTTAATTTAAAATAATGCTTTATTACAACCTAATTACTTAATTATAAGTCGCAGATTCGTTAGAAATTTTATACATTTTGATATAGGATGGATGATTTTATAATTAGTTATTGCATTAAAACAAATCAGTATTTTCATAAATCTCGTCCATTGAAAAATATCAGTCCATCATCATTACAATCTATGTGCTAATGATCAAAAATTCAAATAATGTAATTTAATGTTGCCTCTTTAATTTATTTATTTATTACTAGAGTTGAAGGATTTTCTTTTTAAGTAAATACTTACTAATGCAGTTTATGTCATCTTTTTTTGTTTGTTTCACTATGTATTAAATATTTAAATACACATTAACGCTTATATTTATTATTCCTAGATTAAATAGGAATTCCGTTACAGTTCGAAATTATATTTATTTTTAAATTTATGAATTTTAATTCCTTTTTCTGCAATATAGTATTAATAAAGTATGGTTATTGTTAATTTCTCTCCTTATTTTTGCAAGCTATTTGTCAGTGCTTGCAATGAAGAATTCTAAAATAGTGAAATTAGTACATTATACATTTTTAATTAAAAAAAATTTATTAAAATTGTTTTAAAAAAATCTTAGGTTATGCATACGGTATAGCGGAAAACGTATCAACACTTTCAAGAATCTAGTCCATTGAAATATATCTGACCATCAGCATCACCATAATCTAGTTATACTAAAAATTTCACTTAAATTTCTCATTTATCCATATCTAATTAACTCATTTATCCACAAAATTTCAGCGAATATCATTAAGCTGGAAGTTTTTGTTTCACTAAAGCTAGAGAACAAAAATAAAAAATTAACTTATACAAAATGGAAAGAAATTCTAATGCACATTCTTTATTAAATTAAAAAATAAACAGTAATGTTGATATTTTTTCTCAATATTTTTATTCTTTGAGTAAATAGGAACTTTGCTACGGCGAAAAATTATTTTTATATGCATTTATAAAATTTTATTCCTGTTTCTGCAATAAAGAACTAAATAAATGCATATGCTTGATTTCAAATACTCTTATAACATAGATTAAGGTAATGAAAGTAAAGTTAATAAAATCAGCAGGAATATATATATATATACATATATAAATTTAAAGTTTTGCTGGGATCACAAGTTTTTTAAGAGGCTACTGCTATGAAGACAATTACATGCGCTTACATACAATTACATTACATTCACGCTAGAATAAATAGATAAAAATTATCAATAACTTAAGCTGTCCTATATTTTAAAATCTAAAACTATTTATTGTACATAAGAAATTCTTAAACATTTCTTTCACTTAAGATGAAAATAAATCTTCCAAATGAACTTGAAGTATACATTAAAATTAAGATTATAGTTAAAAAAATGAAAAAACGAAGTTATTTTGTATTTGTAACCCATCATTTATAAGCAATACCATACACTTTTTTTATTGAACTAAAAAATCTTAAATATTCCGAGCTAGAAAATTTCGTCAAGTATTAACAATGTTTCAGTGGGTACCATTGAAATTTAACATTATAAAAATACGTTATATCAAATCCACATTTTTATTAAGCGATATTATGGCGCTATTTTTTATACAGGTAGCTTTAGACCATCTAAAATGGATGGATTTAATTAGAAAATTCAAACTAAAGCAAGAACGTATTGGTTTTCACAGCACAGCTATTGTAAGTGAACGACAGATGGACACGTGTGACGTCAGTTCGTGAATAATCACGTGACTCCCCGTTTCAGGCGAAAACGAAAGTAAGCGTTTCTTGATTGAAAGTAACTAAATAAATAGCCTTCTTAGAAAAGTAATAAAATGTTTTCTGGGAGTTTTGAGGGATTCTGATTGCATTAAAATCAAAAAAAAATTTGACTGTAATTGTCCATTTCAGACATATTACGTGAAAGCTTTTGCGATTAGAAATTATTGTAAATAAATATATTTATATTAAAATCTTCATCCTTTGTCTTTATTTTTTAGAAAAGAATTCTTGCCTTCTTGCTAATTGCTTTTGCAATCGTAATAATTTGAAAAAAAAAGAGAAAAGGTGAAAGGTAAGTAATTAAAAATATAATTCATTTTAATTATATTACCTTCATTTTTTAATACTTAATTAAATTGAGTAGTAGTTTCACTATATCAAATATGTTTGTTTTTTTCTAAAAGAAAATTCGCATTTTACCATTGCTTCTATCAACCCACCACCTCACAGTACATCACGACACTGATGTTTGTTTACCTTAAAGACCTATTATCCGGAAAAAACTTTTTTTCTGGACTTGCTAAAAACCTAAAGATTCAGGATATGGAACTTTCCACGGTAGAAAAATATATATATATTTCCTTTACAGAAAGTAAGATAAAAACATATGTATAAATTAGAACTTTGCTTTAAAAGAACATGAAATTACCATCAAGTAACCAGTTCTTATCAGATAGCAACTTTACTTTCTCTAAAACAAGATTTGATACAAGCTCATCAGGCACAAGTTTCCCCTTTTCAATGTAATTCTTTGCTTCTAATCCTTCCTCTAAAAGCAAATAGAACTAAGAAGTTAAAGTACATAAAATAATAAATTAAACAAAGTCATAAGATCATCTCAATGCTTACAAATTTATACAATTCTCAATTTTATAGTTTTAATAAGAGGAGGCTTTAGCATTTTCAAGAAACAACAAGAGAGTTGCTGTTTATATGTGCTATCTGAAAGAATGAGCTTTGTTAACAATTATGTCCTTCAGAACGAGAATCTGAGATTTAGACAAATAACTTCCTGCATAACATTCAGTAACACAAAAGATCATCTACATTTTCCATTGTTAATCCAACAGCAAAAAGATAATCAGAGCCCTAAAACTGCTAGTGGCTAACAATATTTTACCTCGGTACTGCAGAGTGCATTCTAGGCAGAAAAAAGGGCATTATTATTCTAAAAAGGCAATAATTTCTTTCTATGGGCTTTACACATTCTATTAAATAAAACTGTCAATTAGTAAGAGAAAAAAAAAAATTTTTACTTTACAAAAAGTAGCAAAGCAATCATATTAATTACTAATTTTTATTGATAAATTAACACATAAATCAAGTCAATGTGCTAATTAGCTTAGCAATTTATTTAAAATACATGCACATGTTAATAAAATAATAAATCTATACTTTTAAGTGTCTGTAGTTATGATTTAATAATTAAAATGATTAATAATAATTATGATTTAATAAATAATTAACTTTTCAGTTATTAATTTTATTATAGGCGCGTTAAATAGTATAACAATATAATTAAAAATGCAGCATTAAATTAAATAATATTTCTTTCTCACTTGGTGTACAAAATGAATTCTATTCCTTTTGCTGCTTTTTTTTTTATTCGATTTATTTATCTTTTTATTAGTTATTAACTGTTACTTTTTTTTTTATCGCTATTAGTTATTTGCTTAATTTTTGTAGTTATTCATTGTTAGTTTCTTAGCATTAATTGTTACGTTGCTTGCTAGATTTTTTTTTTCTTTCTTAAGCGAGGTGAGCGTCTTTTGTTAAAACAAAATGTTATGTAAAATAAAAAACGAGAACGACGATCTCCCACCGAAGAGATTATTTCTTTTTAGGAGGATTCGGATTATTTCATCTTGAATTATTTCTTCTTGATTATATCATAGAGATCATTATTTCAATTAATGAAATTTATTATTTTAATTAATGAAATTTCTAAAGATGGGGCAGTTTTAAATTCACCCCATCACAATCTACAATTGAAACTTAGCTAAATTTATTGATTTTTCTGAAATTAACAGCATATTTGAATTATCGTAATATATGGGCGCCATATTGGAATTTCCGGAAGAGATCCGAAATTTGGCAAATTCCGAAATACGGAATTTCTTTGGTCCCGTGAGTGCCGGATTTTGGGACCTATACTATTCCATACAAATCAGAAAGAAAAAAAATTCTTAATATCATTTCTTTTTGAAAAAAAAAAAAAGATGCAACATTTTTTTTAATTAATAAAAATGACAAGATAAATGCGCCTCCTTATTTGCATTACAATTTAAATTAAAATCAAATATTATAGCATATTTTCAGTGTTTGGTTGCTCAAAAGCAACAATTAATGGTTTTTTGAGCAAAAAGAGAAAGGGGCGATATGTGCCAGCCAACCCGAAGAGGGGGACGATGGTCCACAGAACGTTGGGAACCACTGTTCTATACTAAAGAATTATAAAATTGCCATAATAATTGATAATATCTCGGTTTCTTTTAAGTCAGTTAATTACATAGAATACATTAAAAACATTTTAAGAAGTCAGTGCTTTTTCCAGATTTTGAAATTTACCTTCATCAGAAGAATTAAGTGAAATTTAAACACCTTGTTCTTTTACCTTTACAATCACAACACAATTTTGAATAATTCAAAAGAAAGTTATATTTGGAATCTCAAATATTTTAGCAGTTAATAACTTTGACATTATTTTCTAACTTCCTCTAAAATTTTCAATTTCTTTCAAAACATATTTTATTATATTGGTGACAAGCAGCCATGTTTGATAAATAACATGCATCAAGAAGAATAAGAATTCTGTGTGTTTCAACATCAAAATAAATAAACTTATACTTCACAAAAAGAATGAATAGTTTTCAAACAAGCAAAATATGATAAATACATTTATTAAACCGTTTAAATAGCAAAGTTATGAATATATAAGAGGGACACCGATTTGTCCCTGTTTGACACCTGTTTTTTTGGATTGATTTTCTTGAAATTAGAACAAAATTTTAGTTGCTATGCTATATTGGAATATACAATTCAAGCATGTTAATAGGCTTTAAAATAAGATTATGCTTATGGAAAAGCAAGCATCTTGTGCATAGGCAACTATAAAAGAAGGATTGAGTAATGAGGGATCATACAAAGGAGCATAGTCTGTATCATTAACAAAATTCTAGATTTGTTTAAATAAAAATAGGTTAAACATTCTATAAAATAATATTGATGCACTAAATCTTTTACAAACTTTAAAATAAAATTCAACAATATTCTCAGACAGATATAAACAAAATCAACAAATTATAAAAAACCTGGAGAACTTATAAAAAACATTGCTACTAATTGCGAGAGTAGGTAAAAATACATTAATATCAAATTTTTTGCAATGACTTGTTGTAATTCTTTCTTCTTATTTGCCAAAAGAGTATTGACCAGGGTGTGTGACTTTTTTTATTTTTTTTTTATTTAAATAGGATTTTTTTGATTTAAATCAGAATTATTTTTTTTATTCAAATACACTGTAAGAACTTTAATTTATGATTAAAAAAACTTTATAAATGTTTAATCAAAATTAAATTAATATTAAAACTATATTATAACAATATTTTAGAAGCTCTAACTTAGCAAAGTAATTTTTCATTATAATACATAGCTTTCAATGCATAGCAACCATGTTGAAACAAATACATGATTGATATTTAAAGACTAGATGAAATAGAGAATTTAAAGAATACTTCACCGATCTGTCCAGGTTTTTCTGAGAGGTACCTATTTTGTGAAAATTTAGACATAATTTATGAAAATTAAAAATTACACTAAAAAATCAACACAAATATGGTAAAAATACAGATTTATCGTTTCTTACGAGACACAAAAATAAAATTACAAAGAAAAAGTATTTTGTGAAATTGTTCTACCGTTTTTCCTAAAGTTGAATTTGTGAAGGTACTGGCTTGGACAGACCCCTGTACTTTAACTATTAAAACAAAGTTCCAATTAGCAAACCATAATTTTAATTTAAAATTGTGATTGCTTTTTTTTCTTTTGATTTTTAAAATGACAAAATAAATGTAACAGATTGTGTTTATAAATGAAGTCATTCATTAAAAAATAAATAAATATTTAATCTATACATTTCTATATCAAAATATTCATTTTTAATTCCATATCAAAATAGATAAGTTAAACTAAAAAAAATCGATGTACTCAATGGAATTTTTTTTCACAAAATTACATTATAGAAAATCAGATAAATGTCAAAGATACTGTAAACATATTATGAGAAAAAAATACCAGTTAATAACCCTACTGCTTCAAATAGACTTTGAAAGGGAAGAATGACACTATATCAAGAAAAAAATATCTGAATTCATCAGCCTATTTTTTTTTCCTTCTATTTTAGGCATATTAGGGTAATTTCTTTTTATATATCCTCAAGCTTCAGAAATATACATTTTCCACCAATAAAATATAATGTAGATTTTAATTCCATGCTTTTTCATTCAAAAGACAGAATTTTAATTAACATTATTTTTTGAAAAAAATTCATGTTTATTAATTACTTTCTACAGCTATGCAAGTCTATATTAAGACAGCATTAAATGTTTACTTTAATCTGTACTTTCAATCTCAAGAATCAAAAGATTTTTAAATTTGTAATTTCAAATGTGTTGGAATTTAACATACACTGAGAAGAAAAGTAATTTTGTTAACTAAAATTAATTAATACAGCAATTCATTTAAAATAATTTTTAAAACTAAGAAAAGAAAATAATAAAAGTATCAATAATTTAAAACACTAATTTTTAACTTTTAAAATCAATATGTATGAAGAAAAAAAATTTGTTGATTTAAATCAATAATTTTCTTTAAAAAAATCATTTGATTTAAATCAACAAACCCTGCTATTAGCCACTTGTTAAATCTGTTTCAAACATTTACATTGTCATCCACTGATAAGAAAATTAATATAGAAAAAGAGGTTGAAAATGAAATAGTTTTTGATATTTCATTTGCTGAAGTTTTTTTCTTTCTTGTTGATCAGAAGTGGTCGAAAACTAAGAGAACATCCATTCTAAAAACAGTATTAACAATTTACTTTCAAACACACTTTCTGTAAATTTATCTTCGTATTCAGGTACAGATTACTTCGAAATACTAAGTCAAATTGAATTCTTCCTTCCACAGCGAACAAACGGAACTCGTCGCCAACTTACCGTAGTTATGACAATCCCGCATGAGAATTAATTACTTTTCACTCCCCTCTTAATGAAACATTGCTCTTAAAATCATGTTTTACATTGTACCAAGAAATTTGGGGAAACAAACAGATAAATAACTAAAAAACAATAGTTAAAATATTTTTACTAGTTTTATGTAGTATATGAGAACGTAGAACATCACCACTTGATACATATGACAAGTTAAAGTCGCCTACAATACGAGAAGAAATTGTTCCTTTTCCGGAACCGGGCGGTCCCATTATTAAAAACCGAAAATATTGAGCCATCTTGAAAATTACTTCAACAGTTTACAACAATGCTATATCAAACATCGAGACAGAAGAGCTGCATATTAAGATATTGCAATAATTTTCAGGCTTGTGTGCTCAAAATAACTTATAGGCGGGTTGACACGATGGGACAAAACAAAAATGGGAACCGCGAAATTTTAGGGAAAAGGGACAATGCGAAGGGGAAAAAAATGAATTTTAAAATTATTTAATGAATTTTAAAAAATAAAATCATATTTTATTAGACATTGATATAGGCAGTTTAACCAACTCTGTGATTATATTAGGCTGTTGCTTGGCTGCCCGCCTTTTTAATAAATAGAGGCATTTGATTGGTCGATTGCATCATCGTTTTCATCTTTATCGCTTAATCGTATTGTCAGGATTACTAGAATGGCATTTTTAGCATTTTTGTTTGGCGTAATTTTACTACTGCACATGTTCGGTTTGATAATTTATTCGAACCAATCGAAGCACTTCGTAGACAATGAATATAGATGCTTGTATCCCCTCCTTTCCTTGTATGTACTCAGACAAAGACATAAAGATATAAAGATCAATCACTATACCAAACGGATGTCAGGGTGAACTTTGACATAATTGGTCTCTACTCTATTTTTTCTCATTTGATTTTTATAAATTGTCATGATAAATAATAACATTCTGTCTCTGTGGCAAAAAAATCTGAACACATTTTTTTCAAATTTTTTAAAGATTTATAGTTAGTAAATTAGTATAGTTAGTTAAAATGAAAAAATTAATATAATCTTAAAAATTGATTTTTATATTGTTCTGAAATTCAAATACTTGAAATAAATAAATAAAA